CCCCCCCCTCCCACCCACCATTACAGACAAATAGCAACGGAAAAGGGAAAATTACAGACATCCCTCCATTACAGATCTCAGCAACCTAGCATACAAAACTTCTACTTCATTTAACAAAAAAAAGAAAGTTAAACAGTATGAAGAATATCAGTGTGAATGTCATAAAATATTTCAATGCCTTCATAAATATTGGAAGAAACTAAAATAAATTTGTCAAAGTTTCTAATAATGTAATCACTAATTATTTTTTAGAATTTAAATTTGCACGTAAAAAATCAACAATAAAGAGTAATAATACGTATTGATCGGTCATACCGATGGTATAATTGATGTAACAAACATGATTCGACCTTTTTATCAGTGTCAGACATACATTATCGCTATTTATGGATTAATTGAGATAAATCAGTGTCATGAGAGTGGCTTACAGATATAAACTGCATTATTCTTATAGTCGTATTGATGAAATATTCGATGATGAAGAAAAAAGGAATTTCAAATAAATAGAAACAAAGAAAAACTATTATTATTGAGTGTACAGCAACAATAATAAAAAAAGATCGGGCTCTCTTAAACGAAAAAGAGTTTCAATTTTAAACGTAGAAATTAAATAATCAATTATTTTTCTTGTCGGCAAATATTTACTAAAAAACCTGTAGTCGACGAGAAAGCTTTCAATTTACAGATAACTTATTAAGATAACAAGACTAAAGGATATGCGTGAGTTCCACCTTTTAGTTCCAAAGGAGCTGCGCTAACAAGCTTTTCATTTATTAATTACTTTGTGTATAAAATTTTAATAAAACATGTTGTGGCATATATACATTACGTAAGAAAAATATCTATCTCTTAAGTAGTAGTTAATAGACCAGATCAATATATCGTCACGTGATATCTGAACGACTCCTTTGCTCATTTCTAAATCAAATGATGAGTCATGTATTCCACGTATAAAAAACGCAAATATAATATGGAAACAAATTTACTCAAGCAAATTAGTATTAGGCTCTCCTAAACCCATGAACTAAAACTAATTATTATATGATCTAGCGGTTTACAANTTTTTTTACGATAGACATAATTGATCAAGGCCTACAAGATGCGCAAAGTCCCGACTAAAAATCGCTCCAACACCTGGGAATGTTCCCTCGTCAGTCTTATTCTAATTCTTCTAGTTTATATTTATTATTCCTTTCTTTATACATCCTCAACTGTTTTTGTTTAGTATTTTTTTTGTTGATCATCAAAATATGAGATCACTGTCATATCTTATTGTTGATGATCCAATCATACGGATATTAATGTAATTATAACAAATCTTGATCGAGTCTTCTTTTTATTCAGTATTATTGTAAGTTCTGTAGTTAATTATAGAAATTTTGTATTTTTTACTTGTTGTTTGTTTGAATATAACTCATCAATATGTGATAAAAAAACTATTCACTCGAAGTTTAAAAAACGAACCAATTTACGATTCTGACTAGAACATCATTTTCTTATTTGAATAAAAGTAATTAAACCTAGTATTCTTTTATGTTTACTTTGTTATTTGAATCAATTATTTACTTATCAAATTGATTAGCTTTGCTAACACTGATTTATGAATATTGTTTATTTACATTTGTAGTGTTTGAGATTATCGCAATCTTTTTTGTTTTATTGGAAATACAAGATCATCTTTCTTGAGTATTTTATGGCTTATCAAATGTGCATTACAAAAAACAAACTGTATTATAAAAAAAAAAAGAATAATAAAAATAAAATATCTTATACAGGCACTTTTTGTTGTTCTTGTAATTCTTCCCTGTGTACTTTGAGCATAGCATCACGATGTACAGCTTCAAAATCGACTTGATCAACAAGAAATTTAGTTATATGATCAACAGCAGATTGAATTGTTTCTTGTACTTGTGATAATTGTAAACCATTTTGATGACTTTCTCGATTTAAATGATCAAGTCGTTGTTCAACATATTCGTCTAGAATATATATACAAAAAAAAAATGAATAAATATTATTAAAAAAAAAAGGCTGTTAGCGCAATCCCCATGAGATTAAAATGTGAAATACGCTATGGCTCAAAAGTAAGAGAATTTAGAATTTTTTTCGATTTCTTCTTTGGACATAGCCAGTTAGAGATCATGTTTAATCAAAGAAAGATTGTTTTATTTTATCTATTATGAGACATGCTTCTTCACTATCCTTTTACTTAACCATTTAGAAATGCAATAAGAAACACTCTTCATATATTATAATGAGAAGTTACTGATATACGGTCTGTCATCGTCTATGGAAACAAGTCGATACGAACTTCTATTTAGTATACTTCGAGATTCCTTTGATTAGATCATATTTACTCTTAATTCCAAAATAAAAATTTAATGCATCATGAAGTCGTGCTTGTAATTCAATTAATTGTCTTGTATCTTTTACTCGAGCAACAGCGTCAAGTCGTTGTTCTAATTTTCCCATTAAACGAGTTTTTATTTCATAATATGTATATAATGTTTTTCGATAAGTACTCGCCAATTGTGTATTAAGTAAAAGAGCTTTTTCAATACATATCTAAATTTATAATGAATATTGTTTTTTTTTTTTGTTTTCTTTTAAGAATTTACTTTTTTATCAGATAAATAATTCGAACGTTCCTGAAATAATTGTTTATTTAATGAATCAGTAGTTGATTGGCGTTGTAAACATTGTTGTAAAACTCGTACAACTTCTTGTTCACCGGCTTGAACTAAACCAAAATTATAATTTTCATGTGCTAAATCTGCTCTATAATAAAAAAAAGATTGGCCTTTTTTTTTCTTTCATGAATAAAATTTGTTTGAGTACATACTCAGCTGTTTGAATTTCACCGCGAATTTTAACTGTTAATGTTTCCATCATAGCACGAGATTCATCCATTTCAACTATGTGTTTTTTCATATAATTTGTTTGAGTTGTGATATGATTGAATGTTGCTTCAAGATCGTGTGCTGTAGTCTATTTAATAGAAAAAAAGAAATTTCTATAGAGAAAATCGAGCGAAACCATTTTTACAGTAGACGAGCAAGTTTAAGCATAATCTTCTGAGAATCGACGATCATTATATAATGAGTACTGAGATCCAAAAAAGTGATGTCATAAACAACAGAAACCATATGATATCTCCCTAATGTTTTTAAATTATTTATTTTTGCTTTATGGTTCATAACAATCGACATTATAATTTTCTCTGCTCTCTTCGAATTAACAAATATTAGAAGGACAAAAAAAAAAGAACAAACTTCAAATCTTATGGATGTGCAGTATTGGTGTAAATCCTGACGGTGAGTCGTCACCAAGACAGGGTCCATTGAAGAACTGACTACACTGGAAGGGGTCGCAGCGGCCTAGTATGCAAAATCAGGAATCAGGACAGGAATTTTCAAGAAAAAAATCAGGATTTGACCGAATAAATCAGGATTCTCAAAACATAGGCACTATTCATCGAAAGTGCACATCATTTCGCAATAGAAATTACGAAGTGTCAAATGGCACTCATTCTCTACCCTATTCCAGCAGTTGACAACATCCTTAAAATGGAAAATCGTACCATTTCCCACAGAAAATCGGTATCCCATAGAATTTTAAGAGAAAATCATCCTCCCATTGCCTCAGTGTTTCGAGAGCATAACAATCACGTAACATAGCTAGCTTAACTCTTAGTGAAATAATTAAACAAAGCGCGAAATAACAAAACAAAAACGCTGAAACATTGTGATGATTTCCAGCTCGTCGATAGGCAATCNAACAAATATCACCATTCGACTCAGCATGATGAATTACCACATTCCAGACTGTTTCCTGGGTGATCCAAGGTCAGTTGACTGAAATCAGGGGTCTCAGGAAAACTCTTATAACTCTTGAACGGAACAAGCTAGAAAGGTGGGCTTTTCGTAGATCGAAAGAGAAGAATTTTTTCTATCAAAAACGTAAATTAACAATCCAGCAAAGTTGAGAAACAGCTCCAGAATACCGTGCTCGACATTTCCATCGAGAATGCATCTGAGTGGTCCATTGCTGGCCAATTATATTTTACCATGTGTGGATGCTCCTGGGTCTTTTCGTTCTAATGGTAAAAACCGCAGGTCGCTAGCTGCATCCGTTCAGGAGATATTTCTCCTTGAGTTTTCTCCATTTACTTCTGGAACCGACATTAGGTAATAAGAAAAATAAAAACAAAAACTTACTTTCAACTTATTACTTGCTATATCAGCACGTGCAGTATCTCGTTTTTTAACTTCTTCTTCATAAGCTCGATCATTTTTTTTAACTGTTACTTTTGCATCATGTATTGTTTTTTGATAAGCTTTATGTTGATCAATTGATGCTTGTAATTTAGTTCTAAATAATATGCAAAAATAGAAAGAAAAATGATTTGATTTAAAACTAACGTTATTCGTTGAAGGCCTTTTAGTGCTTTATCAATTTCACCACGAATTTCATCCCGTTCAGTTCCAGCACGTTGATTAGCTCGTGTACATTTATCTAATGTATCAGCATTTTTTGCTCGACTTAACATTAATTCATGTTCAGTTTCTTTTAATGCTTCATCAACTTTTGCTATTTCAGTTAATTCTGTTTGAACTTTTTCAGTTATTAATGGAATTGTTTGACGAATATCATTAACTTCAATTTCAAGTTGTCGATGCCATGTTCGAGATAGATCAATTTTTGCAAATACTTTTTCAGCTAATCGAGCATTATAAGCAATATGCCATTGAAGTTCTGTAATATCAGTTATGCAAGCATCGTGTTCTAAGAAAAAAGAAAAGAAGAATAAACGTCTAGTTGAATTGCATCTTGAAAAAGATCTGAAGTTTGAATAAATGAATTTTTTTCTTTTTAAGATATTCAATTCATTGATATTTAGTAGAATAAAAATTAGCTAATGAAAATTTGAAACAAACTTTTTCGAACCTTTTTGTACAGCTAAAGGTAAATCATGTAATCGTTTTAATCGCCAATGATCAATATTTTCTTTCAATCTTTCTCGACTTTGTTGTTCATGTACACATAAATTAATTAAACGTAAACGTTCTCGATCGAGTCGAGCCAAAAGTAGTAATACTTCATCAAGTATTTCATCTTCAAGTATATCATGATGTGGATGTTGATCAGTAATATGACCACCTCGACCAACAATTTCAAGTTGTTCTGTTGATGATGGCATTTGATTAAATGATACTTCTCGTTTGACTGTTCCTTTTTCTATATGTGAAAGAAAAACACTTATACTTCCTTTAAATCGATCTAATTTTATACGTACTTGTTTCTGCATCTCTAAAAGTAAGAAATAAATGTTGAGTTTTTTCTTTTATAGATAATAATAAGAACAAAATAAATTACTTTCGTTCAATAGCATTTTGAACTAATTCAAGATGATTGATAGCTTTTGTTACACATGTTGAAAATATTCGACTAAGAACACAACTTTTCTTTCGGTGAAAATCATATTCAGGCCAATTTTCTGGTAATTCAAAATCATCATCTTCGACATTACCTAAACATTAATAGGTTAATTTGTGTAATATCAAACTTTGAGACAACTTTATAAATTTAAACAAAACTTTAACTATTTACTGCATAGTAAAAATTAATGCAGATTCCTAAAATATTCTATCATTTCTAAAAGTAGACAAACTGATTTTGTCCACCAAAAGCAGCCGAGGCTTTAGCTATCGCATAAGTCATGCGACCATTTGTGCCGTTATTATTGTGTTTTCAAAAATAGTCTACTCCGAATGAAAGAAATAGAGTAGACTAAGTTTCTACAAATTCGTACAAGATAAAGGGTGTCCCAGAAGTTCTGAAACGATTTTAAGAATTCACCGTTCTCGTATTCTACAAAAGCAAATTCGCTGAAACTTTGGTAGATTGTTGTACATATGTGGTACTACATAACTGCAAAGTTTCAGGTCTATAGCTTGTACTATGGATGAGAGCCTAGAACAACACTGACNTAAAAAACCAGGAAAACCGCCTTAGAGAATTTTTTCCTCGAACACGTGTCTCATCATTTTAGGTGTTCTATTTGTGGTAAAAATTTCATTTCGATCGGCCTTACCATCTTCGAGATCTAGAAATGGTCAAAAACGAGGGAGGGGGGGGGGGGGGTACCCTTAATACGATAGATTTATGAAATTCAATTATATATTCAAAAACCCATTAAAAATTCTTTAGAAAGTACTATTTAAAAGACGTAGTAATTAAAGTATTATCGGATTTTTCATTTTCAATAGTTTGCATTCTATCTAATTATTTTCTCGTATACTTATGTGAAAAATTACAATAAACATTATGTGAACATGATCAACATGTATTTTAATACAGTATATTATAAATAGATGAATTTTTTGAAAAATAGTTGAATTCCGTATGTTCAACATTTTAATGGTATTGATATATTTAAAGTATAGATGTATTTTAATGTCATAACTCTTCATCAGTAAATTATGAGTCAGAATCTTTTTAAACTTTTCTTTACTTTTACTAAAAACCTACTTGTAGCCATAATATCCATTTTTAATAAGCATCTCTCGTTGAAATTTATTTTCGAAACGAACTAACATCTGTTTTGCTTATCTAGGCATCAAGTGGTGATATACTTGTTTCAAATAAAAAACAAGATCTTGATATATTTTTAAATAATCTTAAACAACAATATACATTTTTACCTGACCCTGGTTTAGAAGCTCCAACACCCGTTTTCTTTTGTACAATTGAAACATATTCTGAAAGTGGACAAAAACAACTTGATTTTGCACTTAAAAATATAAACCGTGAAGATCCATCATTACGTGTACGTATTGATGAACAAACAGGTCAAACCATACTATTAGGTATGGGAGAATTACATATTGATATAATACGTGATCGATTAAAACGTGAATATGGACTTGAAACATATCTTGGTCCATTAAATGTTAATTATCGTGAAACACCAAAAAAAACTATTCAACAAACAATTGTTTGGAATTCAACAATCAATGAAAGACATGCTACAATTTCGATAACACTTTCTATTGAACCAATAATTTCAGATGATAAGAGAATTATTTCATTTTCACAAATTCAAATCATACGAACGGAAGAACAAAATTTCGAACATTTAAGACAAGAACATATTGGTATGAAATATATATATTTATTTGATAGATTATTTTCTTCATAAATATTATTTGATTGTAGAAGCGATTAATCATGGTGTTCGCCTTGCTCTATCAACAGGTTTAGTTTAGTTTTTTTGTTCTTTTGAATCTTATTGAAATATCAATTGTCTATTAACAGGACTTATCAAAGGTGCTGAAGTAGTCAATATTCAAGTAAAATTACATGATGTTCAATTAACAGGATCTATATCACCAGCACTTTACTCAGCAGCAGCTTCCGATTGTGTTCGAGCATGTCTTCGTCATGCTGATTGTGTTCTTCTTCAACCAATGATGCGTGTTGAAGTATGTTATCACAGAATTTTCTTTATTATTTCATTGTTTTTATTTAATAACAAAAGGTAATTTGTGTCGCTGATCGTACACAAATTGTATTAGATGATTTAGCTCGAAGACATAGTCAAATTATTGATGTACAACAAGGTATTAGTGGTGGATTACAAGAGTCAATGAGTACTCTAATAACAAGAACACCATTAGCTGAATTAATTGGTTATAGTTCAACATTAAGAACATTAACAAGTGGACAAGCAGATTTTACACTTGCTATTGATGGTTATGAACCAGTACGAAGTCATTAAATTGAAGATAAAATATTCAATTTAATTGAAACAGTTTATGTTTTTTTAGAAATGTTTCTTGTAGGAAATGATTGTTTTTTTTTAAATAAATGATGTTTATGAAAACAAAAAAAAAAGAAGATTTTTATACCTATTTTATATTAACTTTGAATTGAAAATTGTAATCTCACCATTGTTTATTTGAAAAAATCAGAAACGATGATTACAGTTATGAATATTGCGACTTAAAATTCTGATGACATGAACTTCTGATCTTCAATACAGTTATAAAACAAGAAAAAAACTTCTACTACAATCTAAATAAGTCGAACAGGCACGATCATTAACGACCAATATACAAAGATAGAAACGTCCACTTACGATCTTCGTTTTTCTCTGTTTATAGAATTTAAAATTTTTATATTTTAGCTTTTATTTTAAATAAAAAAAAGAATGGATACAACATAACAAGCAAAGAAAGAGAGAAAGAAAGAAAAATTCATGGCTAAATTTGAAAATAGGTTTGTTCTTTTTTTTTTGCTGCTATTTAATATATTTTACTTTTTATCTTTTTCAGCAGCTGATGTTGCCTGTTGTTGTTTTTGTCTATCTGCTTCTAATTTACTTTGTTCATCTTCATATTGTTTAATTAATATTGTTAATTCGTCATCTTTTAACATTCGAATTGTTGTTTGATTTGTTGTATCATCATGTTGTAAAACAGCTATTTCAATTTTTTCCGGTGTTAATTTAGTTGTATCAAGAGTTTTACTAAATACTCTTATAGCTAAACGTAATGCATCATTTAATTGTGTTTCACCTATTTTATATTCTTGTTTAAGAA